AACATTGATTGACAATGAAATAAAATTCATGAACAACAATGAGTTCAGATGCAGCTGCAAAGCCCAGTCAGGGTCCTGGAAATACTTCTCCCATGTCAAACTGTTCCTGCCCGAGCACAGAGAAAACTCTAAACTGCCAACTCTGTAGCCTTGATTGAGAATATTCCTGGCTAAGTAAAATGGGCTGAGCAGACTGCATCCACCAGTAAAGAATAAATCACTGAGTTTGGTGAATAGTAAGCTTGGTAGCTAATAAAACCATTTCACGTTATGCAAACATGAGGTAACCGGTGGGCTTCGTGCCAGGGAGACACTCAAGGTAAATTCAAGGGAGCAACTCTCACTGCCTGCTGCAAGTACCACCCTGGGCCACAGGGTTTTTTTCTTTTTATTTATTCCTTTTTAAATATGTTCACATTTGCCCATACTTTAAGCCTTTAAGATAGTGGACTGTGGGCTCCATTGACTTAGTAGTGAGGCTAAAAATTCACTAACCACTGACATGTACAGTGCAGCCTTATGATTAATGCAAGAAATTTAGGCAAAATAAATTCCCTGCAGAGCAGTGGTCCTGGAGCATTCCAGATGAGAAGTTTGTCAGGTAAAGGCAACTTCACTTAGAGTCGTGAAAAGGGTGCCTGCCCTTCATCAGACAGCCCCTTGCCACCCTGCATGTGGCCCCACAGAGATGCTCACCGGGGCTTGTCACTGGAATAGCCAATACAACGCAGGTCCTTGGTTTGTGCAACGGGACGTTATGTGACTGGCACCAGAGGCTTGGGCATAGACAGCTGACTCCTGGACAGTCCAAGGGGGACCACAGGACGACAGCCTGCTCTGAGGCAGTGTGGGCAAAAACACATGTTAGGTTTGACAGGCATCAGATCGGGGCTTCCTTTCCAGCGAGACAGGGTAGTAACAGCTGGTACCCAGAGAAGCCTGGGTCGCTGGAAGCTACGGAAGGGCCCCGGAGCGAGTGCTGACAGGAGTGAGACTGTCCTCGGGGCCAACATTCCTCTTTCCTCATTCCTCTCCGTCGAACCAGGGCTGGACTCCAGAAAATAAATGCCAGAACCAGACTTCGGCACTGGCGAACTAATCCCATGCGAATGAATGCCGTGTACGGAACCCTTCCTTGCTTTGGATTGGGCCCTGGGCTCTGGATTCCAATGCTTAACCTATGCGAAGCCAGGCTACCTCTGGTCCAGTCCAGACGTGGAAACGCAGTTGCAGAAACAAAAACCTGGCAACCGAAGAGCGACTGAAAGTAATTTTAAGCCTAGATTTGTTCTCTTTTGAAAAAGAGAGTGCATAATCATGACTGCTAAACTTCCTTAGATTTTAATACTTGGTGTTTCCTTTTTATCCCAGAGTTGCTCCCCAAATAGCCTCCCTACTCCAAGCACCTCGAAGTCTCTGTTTAAAACAGGTGGGAGCTCGTGGTGCTGTCCAGCTTTCGCCTTTCCTGCCCCTTAGGTTGTTCTCTTCCACAAGGTCACCTCTGCCCTTCCCAGCCTGGGCCTCTCCACACTTAGCTTCTCACATACCATACGCTTGGTTCAGTATAAGGTTCAGGGACCAATCAGACACAACAGGAAGGAGGATGTACCAGCAAAGGGTGCAGACAGGGATAGGACGTGAATGCAGGTGTTCAAATGTGCATTAAAAGTGTGTGTTGTTCATTCTCACAGTGACCCCGAGGAGCAGGCAACCCCATGAAGCATGTGAGAGGTAGGGTTAAGATGTTTAACAACTTGCTCAGCTGGCAGAAGAACTGGGATACAAATCCGAGCTGCTACGATGTCAAAACGCACACTCTGGACTTTGCTATGGCAAACACTTTTCTAGAAAGGTGCTGAACAGCAGAAAGCAAATATCAGCTTTCCTTTAAGATAGATGGGATTTGCAGGTAGGATTTTATTTTATCTCTTCCTAGATTTAAAAAGCAATTGTGAAACTATCACAAGCAAGATCAGGGTGAGAGTAGAAGTCAGCCTGGCTGGCAGTCTGTTTTCTGCCGGTTAAGTAAACAACCAATATAGGACAGTTGGAGACGGGATGACTTTCACATCCCATGTACTTGGGGAAATCAAGCTTTTGTTGTCATCAAGCCATCTTTAATCCAAAGCTTAGACAAGCCTACAGGTAAGTGGGATTCATTGTGAAAACTGATCAGGGTGAGAGTAGAAGTCAGCCTGGCTGGCAGTCTGTTTTCTGCCGGTTAAGTAAACAACCAATATAGGACAGTTGGAGACGGGATGACTTTCACATCCCATGTACTTGGGGAAATCAAGCTTTTGTTGTCATCAAGCCATCTTTAATCCAAAGCTTAGACAAGCCTACAGGTAAGTGGGATTCATTGTGAAAACTCTCAGAGAGTCATTGATGAAGACAGAGGATAAATGGATAGGATGAAACCAGGGCAGGGCTGGGAACGTAGCTGAGTCGCACAGCACAGCCTAGCAGGTGGGGAGACCTGGCTTTCATTCTGGCTCCCAAAACCAAACAACACTCCAACTCCGGAGAGTGTTTCAAAAAGGGGAACGTCCTGTGTTATACCAAGTACTGTTAAAGAAGCAAATAAGATAAGAGCTCAACAGGGGTCCCTTGCTTTGGACAACAGAACCCACCGCTGATCTCCCAGAGAACTGTTTCGGGGGGAGCTGAACTTGGAAGGCAGGCTGGAGAGAGATGAATGGAATTGAAGACTGGAGATGCTGAGTTCAGACGATGACTCGGGGAAGAAATGCGGAGAAAGTTGTGTCTTTCTGCTTTGCTCTTAACGTGGACAATGTGTGCTTAAATGATGATGGGAAAGCGTCACTAGAAGGGAGAGTTTAAGATGAAGTAAGGAGAGGGAGGAGTGTCTGGTAGTAAAATGTCCCCAGGAGGAGGAGACCAGCTGGAGCACACAAGGAGCGTGTGGGGCCCTGGGTAAAAGGAGAGTGGCACGTGGGACACTGGGAGGAAGGAAGGTGCTGATCGGTGTGGGCGGAGCTTCGGCTTCATAGTTCCTGCCCAGTGGCTTCTGTCCAGTTCAGGAAGCCCTTACAGCTCATCTGCTGAGAACAGGCTGGGAGAACGAAGCGAATTGGAGACATTGAAAAGAGGGACAAAGCTTCCTCATTAAAAAAGAGACATTCAGATTGCTGGGCAGTGATAAAAACCCAGCTGCAACTGGCTGACTTGTTGGCCACGCGGCGGGCAGGGCTGCTGTCGGTGAAGCCGCCGGGGAAGGAAAGTTGGCTTCCTGCGCCATGGTGGTTTTCCCGGACGGTGCTGTAAGGAGGGTTCAGAAGCTCGAAGAGAATGACGGTGAAGGTGGACGGTGGCGTCTGCACTGGGGAGGGGAGGCTGTCACCGAGAAAGCGCGTGGGCGGTGGACGTGGGCCCGCTGGCAGCAGGAGGTGCGCGTGGCCCCGGATCAGAGGAGACGCCGTGTCAGAGCCCGGCGGTGACCGGAAGGCTGACGTGGTGAGGATCGCGGAGAGCCGGATGCCTTCACTGCGCCAGCTTGATCGCAACGTTGGCACCGCAACTTTTTAATTGTTTTACATTTTTCCCTCTCTGAAGTCACTAGTGTACTGGGAGCCGATGTTTATGTATGGTGTGAGGTTACTGTTTGTATTTTCTTTTATTTGATCGACTGGTATTTCTTGGGCCTTGGGGGTTTAATCCTTGAACTGGCCCTTGGGTTCCTTCCTTCCTCACTGTGCTTTGCCTTTATTAAGTCTTTGTGACCTCTTGCACGAAGTAATGCACTGCCTTTCTGCCTCCTCTCTCTAGAGTCCATATTTTATATGTTACTGTAAAAGTTAATTTGCTAAAATAGAGCTATGGCCATGTCACACCCTGAGTAAAGTGCTTAAATAAATCTTTAATTACTTAGAGAATAAAAGCCGAACTCCTGCGTGTGGGAAATTTGAGATGTCACCGTATTTCTCCTTATGATATGTTGGTGTTTTATCACGTGCTCCTCATTTTCTGGCATTATCCATATTTGTACTCAAATGCACCTGTATGGAAAATACATGATCCAGATTAACTTTTGAAACATCTTTTCCTAGAGCTATTAATTAGAATCATAGTTACCAAGTTTTAAAATTTGTAATTCATTCCTTTGACATTTATCTAGCATCTACTGTGTAGGGGCTGTAGACCATATTATAAATTTCTTTAAGCATTTACAAAAAACGACAGAAAGCTTTGGCCCAATATATTAAAAAAAAGTGTAGCAACAGACATTTGAGTGGACTTTTGTGAGAGTCCTAATGAAGGAGAAAGGACATTTGATGGAAATCGGGGTGGCGGCTTTGTGGCCAAGGTGTCCTGGTCATCCTGAAAGATGATCAAGTTGACAGAGAAGGGACGGGCGGGCACATCAGGTAGAGGCATGGCATCGGGAAAGACAGGAGCAGTGGGAAACGTGACCTTTCAGTAACGAGGGGGCAGGGAGAAAGAGAAATGCCTGGAAAAGCAAACTGAGGACAGAGTATGCAGGACAGGCTGAGGAGCCAGCTGTAGCTAATCGGCGTTGGGAGTCCCTGAAAATGTCTATTTGGGGACTGATATAATGAGGTAATGACACGGTTAGGTGGACTAGGATTCAGAGAGATTAAGTCTACGGGGATGCATCGTAGTCTAGAGATGGTATATTGCTGGGTTATACCTCTTGGGAGGTAAGAGAAGTCAGAAAGGACACAGGAATATTTCAGGAGTAGAATCTATAGCAGTTAGTTGGCCAGAGAAAGAGGAAGGGGAGAAATGAGTCCAGCTCTAGTCCCCCAAATAAATGAACAATTAAACGAACGGTCCTCCCTCTGCTTAAGCATCTGTTATGTTTGTATTCTCCTTCTGGCATTTCTTATATTTTTTGGTGGCTTTTCCAAGTACTTACCATTTAAAATCATTTTCATAGCCTAAATACTTACTTTGGATGAATGGTTTTATTCTTTTTTCTCTTTTCTCTTTTCCCCTGCCTCCTCTTCTGCGTGTCACAGCTTCTCCTGGATATGGTGGGGTCCCCGGATCAGGAGCTCCAGGAAGCCGCAGCTGGCTGCATATCCAACATCCGCAGGCTGGCTCTTGCCACAGAAAAGGCAAGATACAATTGAAATTTGAACGGAAATGACAAGCCACCAAATTTTACATGACACAGGACATTTACCCCCATGGCCAGGAAGCCTAAACTGGGAAACATTTATTAGCAAATACTTTAAATAGTCTAAATGAGAATGCATGGATTAAAAATGCAAATGAAACTTTCATCTGGAAACCACATGGGTATTTTTGTTCTATGATGTGCCACATAATTCAGCGTAAAGCCAATGCATTTGTGATAATGTTCTAATAACTTGAGAATATCTGTGTACGGTGTATGTATATAAATGGTGCTTTTGTATTTGTGATGATTTTAATAAAGAATATGGCTCTCCCCGGGTGCAGTTTCCTAGCTGCACTGGACGTCTTTAGAATCTCTTTCTGTTAAAGCTATCGACTGGCGCTGTCATTCTGCCTTTGTCTGTCTGATCACTTGCAAGCCGCAGGAGAGTTCGGAGGAGATGTGCTGATTTCACAAACAGTCGTTACATGGAATTTAGAGTTAAGCAGCTGGACTTAGAGGGATCATCCTGAGGTCACCCCAGCTTCTCCAAAGTAGCACCAGACATCTGAAAAGATCATGTATAACTGCCCACCTACCGGACAGTGCTGATCCCAGGAACATAAGCAGTAAGGTTTGGTTTCTGCTCTTGGATTTATAGAGCACAAACAATTACATGTTTCATTTCCTTTGCAGCGTTTCACCAGCATTTTATTGAAGGAAATTAATTTATGCTGATGTTTGGATAATACTTTTTCACATAAAATTGTTTTGAATTTCTGAACTTGTTTTCAGCACACGAAGTACTTTTTAAAAAGTGGCTACAAAGGATTAATAGCATTTTATCAGGTTAAGCAACATTAGAATCCATTTAAAAGAATCATATATAATCTCAGTGTGCTGAAATGTTTGGGAACTGACTGTTCCAAGTATCTAATGGCCAGAAAAATAGCTTTATGTGCATCAGCTCAATAAACTGGAAACCTCAGTTAATTCTTTAAAAAGCAAGCAAGGCTGTTTTATTGAAAATTGTTAGATAATGTATATGTCATAATTTGGAGATGATCATAAACTTAATTGAATTAAATGTAAATAATTTCTACAACATCCAAAGCCTGTTTGGAATGAAAAGTACATGTGACAGACGCTCCAATAAAAAGATAAACACTTCTGAGAATTTTAAGGTTTCTTAAAACAGCCATCCACCTTTATTAGTTCTCAAAGGAAGTTTTAAAGAGAGGATGCTATGCACAAGGAAATGGCATTAATGCTAAGAATTAAATATGAAGAATAGAATAAATCTGTTAGCTTTGAGTAGTAGATATTTCCAACGATAAAGTCGCCATTTTTAGCTTTGCTTCACAGCGTGAAAAAATATTTCTACAAATCACGGGTTATAACAGCTACACAAAATGAATAAGCACATTATTGTTATTATTCAAAGATGCGCCTACCTTTGTTGTCAGATTTTAAATATTTTAAATTAGAGGGTCTTGGAAGTAAAGGGAAGCAAGAAGCAGAACAGCAAGGGGACCACATGAGTGGGGAGGGGAGGGACTTGTTTACGATGTGCGGCATAGAAGGAAACGGTTTTCTGTTTTTATATGTTAATAAATGCATGCAGTAAAAGCAACAATGCTATTTAAAAAAAAAACTAAGGATTTAGAGACAGAGAAAATTAACACAAAGATTATCCAGGATATTTCTAAGGAAGAATTTCTTTAAAATTCTTAAACATCAGAAATGCTGTACCATTAAAATGAAAAATAAGAAGTCGAATTTAAAGGTCAACTTTTGGCTGAATTTTGTGAAATGGCATCGTGGAAAGCTCTGATCTTACAAAAAAGGGTCAAAACTAACAATAATAGCACCACAGCCTCCGGAGACACAGGTATGAATGACCACACCACTGTGTGTGATGACTTGCCTTGGGAAAGCTCACTTTTTCTTCACTTGTCTTTGCATGAGGGTTTTTATTGTATTAATTTTAGCCATTGGAGGCTGACAGCCTTACTTCTTTGTAAGTTTTCAGTGGCAAATTTCTTCCCCAGGACACAGGGAGCGTGGTAAACTCCCTTGAGAATGGATGGCTGTTTTGGTTATAAAGCAGTTTAAGGTGGAAAGAATTTTAAATAGACTTCTTTGATCTCCCAGTCTCTTTAGTTTGCAAGGTTTCCTTTGAGGAATCCTTGCCACGATCCTTTTGCTGTGCCACTATTGGGATAACTGGCCTTAAACATAATTTGTTTCTTTTTTAAACTTTTCTGATATTTGGAAGGTCAGTTTTCTTAAGGCTTGCCATTGGATAGCCCATTGATTTGACAGATTTTATTATTACTATTATATATCTCTAAAGTGCTCATGGGGAACTGAGAGTTTATCACTCAAAATATTTGGAAATTTTCCATTTAGGAAAATTAGTATCTCAGTTACTGAGAAATAGACAATAAAGAGCAGTGAGTAGATTCTTTTTTTGTTATTTAGGTTAATTAATAAGATAAAACTTCCCAGTGTGAATAATATGTTTAATTTCATTATGTGAAGATTTGAGAATGGAATAGGCTATATTCATTCCTGTGATTCAGTGAGAACATTAAGAAAACCCACTAATTAAAAACTTCATTGCCTCAAATACGCTATGTGCCAACAACACAAAACAAAACAAAAACACCCAATGGCTTACATACACTTGGAAGCAAAAGTGGAAGTCCTCCTCTAAATGAGAGTGGAATAGAAAGGGAACCAAATTTAACCTGATGCTGCTACCTGCAGACTCAGTATTATGTGCTTGTGATTATCTCTAAAATACAGAACGGATAAAGCCAATAACCTTGGCATACCAGGAACTGCCTAAGAGGGCTCAACCATTTAAAAAGGGCACCTTAGTGATGCCTACCCAAAGCGCTATAATTTTCTATGCTTTGGGAATATTTTCAGGAATTTATCTAAAATGGTGTTCTGCACTGTCAAGGATTGGATCTTGGGTGTCCCCGAATGTCCCTATGTTAGAGGCTTGATCCTCAGCCTGGCGCTGTTGGGAAGCCATAGAAATGTGATGAGGTGGGGTCTGGGAGGTCTTTGTGTCCCTGGGAATGGGCCCTCCAAGGAGATTATGGGACAGCAGCTCTTCTTCCTTTCTCTCTCTGTCACTTCCCCACCGTGAGGTGAGTGGTTTCACCCAGCCAGCTGGTCCTGCCTTGCTGGTCTGCTTGCTACAGGCCCAGAGCATTGGGGTGAGTTGACCATGGATTGGAACCTCTGAAACTATGAGCCAAAAGAGTGCTTTCTCTTTACAATCTGATTATCTCAGTTATTTGTTACATTGATGGAAAGCTGGCTCACATACCCACGACCGGCGTTTATAATGGTAAAAATATCTGGAAAACTTTGGTTAATTCAGCCATACAATGAAAACACATTGTGTAAAAATAACACAGAAAGCTTTTCAGAATACATCGCTAAATTGTAAAGCAGCTTTTAAAGCAGTGCTTATAATGTGAACACATTTTTAAAAATATATACATGTAGTTGGGTACTCATTAGAGAAAGACCTGAATCATACACTTCAAACTAAATAAGTGATTATTCCTGAATAGTAGAGTAAGAATTATTTTTGCTTCCAATTTTCCATATCAGTGTTTTCTAATCTATTTTACAATGAATATGAAATCACTTTCTTGAAAATAAAATATTTTCCAATTAATTTTAATTTCCTATATTTGGAGACATGTAAGGCAGACATTCTTCCTGTTTCCTAACACCAGCTTTAAGAGGGAAACCCTCAGATTAAAAATGGGATGTGCAATATATATATAATATAATGTACAATAATATATGTTTTATATACGTAAAATAAATGAGACTTGAAAATATGAGAAAAGTAACTTCAGCATCTAAAGCAACTTAAAAATATTCTTAACTCTTGATACACATTTGTAATAGCTTCAAATTACAACACTACTAATGTAGTATAACTGAGACACAGCAAATTGGCCCATATGTAAATTCTATTATTTGTTTTTTTGGCAGTTAAGTATCTGAATTATATTCTAAGAGCATAGATACCAGATAATTGAAATATCTCAAAGAATAATTTATAGATTGCTTCATACAATATTGTTGTTTTCAGAAGAAAAGAATTTTGATTCATTATTTGTTTACTCCATTGTAGGAATCTAAGGTAAACAAATTTTTGATTATTAGGTCTGTTTATATTTCTGCCTGAATAAAACTAATAGAAGTACATTCTCAACCAAAATATACCAACATATAAAAATATAATAGTTTCATAGACTTCTCTTCCTTTGAGATGCCTTGTTTTTCTCCTTTGTGCTCTTTTTATGCTCAAATTATTATATTAATTTCATGTCCTTTCAAAATTTATTTTCTCCCCTCTATATGTCTCCAGCTTCAACCCTTTCTCTGACAAATGGTTATTATATTTTCTGGCTCTTAAATTATGTTATGGTTTAATTTCTATAAGTGCAAGACGTAAAGCTGATATTTTAGTATGTTTCTGGTGTGCAATTGCCATGGCTGGCTTGAAATCATGGAACAGATGGAATCTTTATACGCCCAATTCATTATTTTCACATTTTCAAGTGAAAGTAGCTGATTCTTTACTTGCATCTGTCAAGACAAACGGTAGCTTTTCTTTTGCCATTTCATGCCACCTTGATTTATTAGTTGATAAAAGGCATACTTTTATGATTTCTACTCTAAGAGCATAGAAATTACATAAATGAATTACATTATTGACCTATGATGTTCAGGGTTACGATCTGTCATTACAACTCGGATTTATGTCCTGACTCATTCTGATTGTTGAAAAGCTATATTAGTGTCTATCAATATGCTTTATGAAGACATGAAGAATGGCTAGCATTTGCCAGTAGATGAATTATATTAGCAAGTACAAACCTAAATGTATGCAAGGACCAGGCAAGTAATCCAAAAGAGGGAAAAGAGTGAGATACTTTAAAAAATAATACAAGGGTTAATAATAATGCAAGGGTTAATGAAGACTCTGAAAGCTGCAAAAGACAGATTACTACCGGTCAATTGTTGGTCGATCTTACAACTATTCAAGAGATGCTCATGTGTTCACAGTCTCTCAAATACTTCGTATGGTAGTGGCATTATTCTGCTAGGGGTGCTGTAACAATGCCATAGACCAAGAGGCTTAAACAACAGAAGTATGCTTTTCCTCACAGCTCTGGTGGCTGGAAGTCCAAGGTCCAGGTGCTGGCAGGTGTGTTTCTGGTGAAATTCTCTTCCTGGCTTACAGACAGCCGCCTCCTCACTATGCCTCAGCTGGCCTTTTCCTGTGTGCACACCCAAGAGAGCCATCTCTGGCATCTCTTCTTTAGTTGTGTTGTCTTGGCTGCCTTGAGGTCCTGCACTAATTCGCAATGTTTACCTTTCATGGTCGTTTTGACTTTGAGGAAGAGCCAGAAATCACAGTGCCAGATCTGGTGGATAAGAAGGCCAGGGACGCACCGCAGTGTGGGAGGAGCCTGCCCCCCCATGGGATGACACTCGGCAGCAGCATTTTTTTTTTCATCACAGTATGTAAAGACACTCGTGACAGGAGGCTTCCAGAACTTTTTAGAA